TTATGTGGGTTCTGGGGTCTGAACTCGGCTGTTCGTGTTTGCATAGCAAGCACTTAGCCGCTGCAGGCCATCCAGCAGTCTGGCTTTTGTTTCTTTTTGAATTTGCTTGTCTTCTAGACCAGAGATGGGCAGGCGCAGGTGAGAAGCGTCGCAGGGAGAAGAGGAAAGCTCATTTCCAGAAAACAGTGATTGTAAAAGAAAGCTACTCGGGTTGTTTATGACCTTCTGTCATTTATTTAATGACAAGAGTGTGCAACGGCCGTGGATGGGAAGTCCCAAGGTGTGCAACAAATGCACTTTACAACACATGCTCACCTTGTCCCTCCAGAAGCATAATAAGACATTCTCAACTCTGACAATGCCATGCTAGGCAACTTGTCAGGACCACACCTGACGAGGCACACACCACAACGGCCCTGTGCCCTGAGTTATGGTGTTGTGCGGACAGGTACAGGTGCAAGCGGTGGCTGGATATCAGGCTAAAACCCAACAGTACCTTCAAGAGAGACACAGGTTATTACTATTAAAAATCATGATTTATCTGCATGTGTTTGCCATGTGAGTGAAGGTGCTCTCAGAGGAAGAAGAGGGTGTCAGGTCCCCTGAAGTTGGGGTTACACGCAGTTGTAAGCGGCTTGATGTGGGTGCCGGGAACTGAATACAGGTCCTTGGCAGGAGTAGTACATGCTCTTAGCCATTGAGCCATCTGTCCAAACCAGAAACCATCTGTTAAGGCTTTGGTTTGATCTGTTTGGGATCATCCACAGCATCATGAGTTCTTTGGCTTAACGCTGTGACTAGAAAAGGTACATGGGGAGCCAAGCCTGCTGTGTTTGTCTGATGGCTTCTGGCTTGCCCCAAGATGCAGTTTTCAGGACCCCAAGCTGCTGAAGGGTAGATCTTGGTCGTATTTTCCCTGGATCGAGTGACCTGTTCTTCATCCAGATCCAGTTTCCCCTCTTCTGCTAAGGCTCTCTCCCAGCTGCAAGGACAGCTGTGGCAGATCTCATTACAGGTGGTTGTGCGCCCCCCGCGGAGTTGCTGGGGATTGAACTCAAGTTAAGAAGCAGTCTTAGCCTCTGGTCAACTCTCCAGCCCATGAAATCATTACTGCATAACATCACAACAGTGCCTGCCCCACCCGTTGCGAAGGTCTAGCCAATGCTCCCCATCCAAACAGGAGAGCAGCAGAGGAGACCAGCCACGAGTGCAGAGGCGGGAGGGTAAGTGGAGAACCGGGCATGTCCCGAGGCTCCATGAGGCTTTGTGCTCCTGAGACAAAGATCCCAAGAGAGAGCGCCAACCAAGAGTGATTGAAAGCTGGGCTGGCTTGAAACCGGAAGTGTCCTGTAGGACAATCAGAAGAGACAGGAAGAACTAGAAAGCAGTGGGGACAGCTGACAGGTGGTCCCAAGGGGGTGAAGTGCAGGCAGCTTTTCAGGTGTGTCCTGTGGGGGACAATGTTTGTGAACAAAATAATGAAAATGAGGACATGCCACCCCGAGATATGGTGCGGAGAAGCTGTATTGTAGGTATGAGGGAGAGCACAGGTGGAGGCGCCTGGCAGAGTCCAGAGTGAACATGGCTGGCGGACTGAATCAGTCACGAGGGGCAAGTGGGAAGGAAGAAACAGAAGCCAAAAGGCCAGGAGATCGGGAACCAAGAGCCAGCTGCCAAAAGGCAAAATGACTGGGGATATATAGGAATTAGCGAAGATGGGGGAAGGGCAGCCAGACCCTGGGCTGGGGACGCTAGCCAGGGGGTGGGGACGCTAGCCAGAACCTTGTAACAGGTAGGGACTGAGGGAGACCGGAGGCCAGCATCCACTTTGAGCCCTAACAGCCTGTGCTTAGGGAACTGTAAGCTATCTGACCACTTTTGAGCCCTTCTCTGAGCATGTCAAACCCCTCCCTGGTGATGGGAACTTCAAAGTAGCAACCAAACCCAGATCCTCCTTCCTTCCTAACCCTACTCAACCTGGAAAGATAAGACTTCTTTGTGGTGAGGAAAATGAGGCTGAAGCAGGAGGATCCCCACAAGTTCACAGTTAACCTGGTCTACATAGCAAGGTCCAGGCTAGCCTGGGATTCATAGAAAGACCCCATCTCAGTTTTTATTTTTTTTAACCTGAAGACAACTTGAGAGCAGTTTTTCAGGAAATGCCTCTTCCCTTCAGAGACATTCAGGCGGGTCTAGCAGACACCTGGTCAACCAACAACTGTTTTCAAGGTGGGACGGAGGCTCTTACAGGTGCTAGGTCACTCCTGGCTCACCCCACAAAATCAACATGGATCCTCAACTGCTTGTCAGCCAGTGAGAGGGTTGTTTTCAGTGGCAGACCCACTAAGAGTCATGGGTGGCACTCAGGAGCCCTGCTTGAAGATGCCAGTCAGGAAATGGACATTACTGTGTCCTCCAGGGAGCTGAGAGTCTGGGGCAGCCACCAGGAAAGGTTGTTTCAACTCAGAACTGCCTCTCAAAGGTTTTCAAGCACCATAACAAATCAAATATCCTATACCAAGGAAGCTCTGGGGCGTAATTTGGCACATAGTAGGAGCTTAATAAATAGTGGATGAAATTTACTCATCTCTTACAAGTAATTTAACTAGATTGATATTTATTGATATTTATATGATGAGAATTTGAGGGTCCTCAAATATATTTAAATCACATACATGAAGCTGTAAATTATAACTTTGAAAAAATTTATTTAACTCCATATTTCCAAATGGGGATCCTTAAGCAGATGGTGGAAGCCTTGCCTACAAGTCAGCATTAGAACTCACTCATCTTCCCTCTGATTGTTGCAGGTCAGAGGTAGTTTACTGTTCCATGAATTGGAATCTTATGCATTATTAAGAGGGAGGATTTTGTTCATACTCATGTGAAATGCTTTGTGTGTGTGTGTGTGCGCGCGCGCGTGCGTGCGCACGTGCGTAGGTTGGTGCTGGGTGCCTTTGGGGCCTCTCATTGACCTCAGAGCTCACTGATTTTGGTAGCTTGCTTTGGGGAAATCCCTGTCTTTGCCTTGACTGTGCCATGATTATAGGAGGGGTGCTATACCCACTCGGCATTTCTGGGGAGCAGAACTCCGGTGCTTACTTCAAGACAAACACTTTCTGGCTGAGCCACCTGCTCAGCCCCAAAAGTGGATTTTTATGTTATGTGCACTTCTTTTTTCCAAAGGAAAGAGGCCACAACTTTAATCAAATTACTGAAGCCTCCTGGAGTTAAAAAAAAATAAAATATAAAGAATCTCCTGCTTTTGATAAGTGAGGTTTCAAAAGACATTTGGACTGCTTAATTCCGGTTTCCCTAGACTTGCAGGCTCAGTAGAAGAGACTTCCACAGGTTTAGTTACTCAAATACTAACGACTCTTTAGAGTCAGGCTTTTACATTTTTTTTTTAAAAGCAAAGACACATACCTGGGATGATTTTAAATGTACATGTAGATAATATGCAAATAAGAACTTTTAAAACACCCCCTTTCCCTTGCCGGTTCCTCCAGTCAGCTTCTTTTCCCAGGTCCTTGGGGTCTGATGGAGGCGGCCATAACAACAGTGTGCGTCGGCAAAGAGAAGCAACCATGTGCAAAAGAGGTCGGAGGTGAAAGAAAAACCACAAATGATAAGTTGTACTGCAGAGATTAGAGGCTGCCTTTCTGGTCTGCAAAGATGTCTAAGTCCCCACGCACCCTCTGTAGCCTAAGAGCACGTTCTCGTGAGACCTTCCACATTTGAGGAGGCTCCTGGGGAAGCACCCTGGTCAGTGAGGTGTACGTTTTCTCTCAGCGGACTTTTATGTCTTTATGTTGCTCACCAACCAACACTTGACCAGCCAGGAAAAGCCTTCAGGTGAAGAGGCTCTACACCCTGAAAGAGCTATGCTTTGGCTGTAGGCTTAGAGGCACTGCAAACCTTTAAAGATGTGTACAAATGGCACGTGAGCTTTTCTGGGGAGAGATTCCATAACGTACATACAAAGCCAGGGTCTCACATAGCCCAGGCTGGTCTTGTGTAACATGAGGGCTGGCTTGTTGGGGTTTCTGTTCTGCCCAGTACCCCAAAGCCGGGCAAGCCCAAAGAAAATCACACACAGGACTCCATAAGGTTATAAACTGATTGGCCCTTAGCTCTGGCTACTTATTAGCTCTAATAACTTATGTTACCCCACCATCCTTATCTATGTTAGCCACATGGGCTCAGTACCTTTCTCAGTGTGACGGCTTACATGTTGCCTCTTCGGTGGTCTGCACAGGAGTGGCTGAGGGCTTCCTGTGTCCCAGAATACTCCCAGTCTCTTTGCTCCACCCCTACGTCCTGTCTGGCTTTCCCGCCTATACTGCCTGCCTGACCAATCAGCGTTTTATTAAAATATGATTGACAGAATACAGACAATTCTCCCGCACCAGTCTGGAACTCTGTAGGGAGTCTGACGCTGAACTCCTGATCTTCCCTTCACTACCACCTAAGGAGCGGAGCACAGGTGTGGTCACTAAGCACAGTGAGTTCTGCACCCAACAGATTCTGAAATGGGGCCTGGAAGAGCAGGACGCAGCAGCATCCTGGCCCGCACCAATCACCCTGAGATGCGCGCATCTCGGTCATCTTTTCAGAAAGCCTGTTGTACTCTCTTAGTCAATCCCTCCACTGAGACGCTGCACAATCAACTCTGAATGAAGCGGGGGGAATTGTCACCTGTGCAGTGTGTCCTACAGCCCTATTTGTAATGGTCTGTGTGGAAATAAGTATTTCTCAGCTAAAGTTGACTGCCGTAGGTGAATTCATCAATATAATAATAATAAAAATAATATTGCCCCAGAAACTAACAAAACTGGAATTTTGCTTTGCTTTTTCGTATTTTTAAAGCCATGATGGGAATGAAAAGTAAATCTTCCTGTTTTGGCCAAAAGTTGCAGACAATACAAGGGGTGGGAAGAGGGCGGGCCTAATCTGAGGTCGTGTCAAGCTTTCCAATGAGGAAATACCATGAACCAAAGTTACGTTTTAGAATATTTTAATATCCATTTTTTTCACTGGATGCATTTTGAAATTCTTAGAATTAACAATTTAAAAAGAGCAGAGCAAAGGAAACATGGAAACACAAGTTGGTTCTTGCTAATTTAATTTCAGGATCTATCATGATGCGATTTTCAAAACAACCAATCAAAAAATGCTGACCTTGAAAATCAAGAGATTTCAATGCAGACTTCTCTTTGGAAAGTACCAGTGCCCACAGCCCAGGTGATGGTTGCACACTGCCTTTGGCTCTGTGTCATGTGCAAATGTGCAGGTGCAGTCCCCAGGAGTGAAGCCAGAGTGAAGGGAGCCATGCGCAGGTGTGGCACAGTCTGTGGGGCTCGTCAAGCAGTTTAGGGGCTTATAACTGATGCTCTATGCTCATCTGCGTGGGATAAAATTATGTGTGCTTGATCATACTGATGTATAAAATCGATCTGAGCTGGGTCCGAGAAGGGAAGAGCAATTGCAATGCCAAGCAACTATTTACACACATTCAATTCTGTAGTATTGCTTCCTGCCCTAGGTTCCTAAGAAGTATTGCCACCCGAAGGACACCGAGTCCACTGCCTAGAAGCCCAACTGTCTCCAGCTGTTTGTTCAATGCCAACAGACCAGGCTGCGCGGCAGGTGTGCTGCAGAGCCCATGGTTCTGTGTTGAGGTATGCTTTGGGGCAGGGAGCTGGAAAGGCCTCAGGGGCCTGGCACCCTGAAAGAAGAATGTCTGTGGTTCTTCAGGAAGGCTCAGGGTGTTTCCTAAGAGCATTGCATTCTGCGCGAGCTGCCCTTCATCCAGGGCTCTGTTTGTACAATGACCAACTGGATTACCTGCTCAAGGCCAGTGATTCTCTCCAGGTGGTTTGCAGGTCTGTGGTTAGGGGGTGGGCTGGGAAAGAATCACAAATGCGTTTGTAGCAGAAAAAGGAAGAAGAGTTTGGGAGGGAAAATGTGCGTAGAGATGAACTTGGTAGAGCACATCTTTACCAGGACTGCAAAGACACTGACAACCAGCCAGCTCCTCAGCTACGCAGCCTGGAGGCGGAAGAAGATTGGCACTCAGAGACTGCAAGCCCTAATACTGACAGGCAGAAATCCTACATGCCCTAAATCCTAGTACAAGGAAAGAATCAGGTAGTGTTTTTAAGAAAAAAATATCTGTGGCATTGTACAAGAATACATTCTTTAGAAGCAAGAGGTATTGTCACAACTGTCTGTTCTTCGAGTTGGAAGACCAACAGGGAGCCAACTGGGATGGAAAATCTCCCAGTCACTAAGTCCACTCCGGGACCTGGCATGGCTGTGATGCTAGGGTGGCCATCTCAGGTATCCCCAGGAGAAGTGGCTGACTAGAACTAAGATGTCACCTCGCTAGCATCAGCAAGTTCTGTCTGTCTTTGGGCATTAGTGACAAGAGGATTCAACTTAGATGTGACAATTATACAGTGAGGTTTACCAGTGAAAGGACACACCACAGGGCATGGCATGAAGACCCCCCACTAAACAGAGCTGGCTCTCGGTGGCCTCTGAGCTGCACACCAGCATCACCTGGAAAATGACGACGACAGGGCACCTGTAGCCTGAGCTCCATTCAGCACAAAGTGGAGACTCAGCATGGAAAGACACAATTCCAAAAAAGCAACCAGGAACATGAACACCATTTTCCTTAGTGTCTCCGTGTCTGGCTGTCTGCACCTCCTTTGCTGGTTCTGTCCCACTTTGCTGCACTGTAAGAAACCCCTTTAGAGAGTCTGACTTGGCCAGCGAGTTAAATCCCACCACAGATCGGCCTGCACAGTTCAACAGTGGGAGGACTGGACGAAAGGGCTGCCGAATCCCACTTGGAGCAGAGCCAGTTTTACTCCGGATCCCCACAAGGGGGAGCAGCACCCTGGGCGGCACCGTGGGCCACAGTGGATGAGACATGAAACGCTGAGGGACATCTTGTCATTGGTCTGTTGGGTCCTCTGCAAACTGCCCTGCCCACTCCATTTCCCTCGACCAAAACTACCCAGTGCCCCCTCCCCATAATACACGTTTTGACAAATAAATAAATAAATAAACGCAACCCTCAGATGGCTGAGTGTCTCCCTCAGGTGAGTCGGCTTCTGAGACGAATGTCTTCGCTCTTGGCTGGAAGACCCCAGGAGGGTCAGGATGAAACACGGCTTTGAGATTCCTGAGGCCTGGTTTGTGAGCTTTGTGCCTGGTGAGTATAGGAAATCCTGGCCTGCGTGCAGATGAGCCCCTGAAACTGCCCAGTGTTCTTGGGCCACAGGACTATGGGCCCAGGTACCCAGAGATGCCAGGAGGGGGCTTGCTGAGCTTCCCAGCCCTGCTCCCCCTTTATAGCCCCTCCCCCAGATGAGTTACTGGCACTTTATGTCAGATTCATAAATGCAAGTGTGTGCGTGTATGTGCTTAGAAAGGCCAGGTGACTGAAAACACTATTACATTTATAGAAAAAATGAACTGGAAAACACTGTATGAGGAAAAAAACTTGTGAGAAAAGGCAATAAAAATGGTATCTTAACCACAGCTTTTTTTTTTCTTGTTTTCTTTTTTTTTTGTTTTTCCCTAAAGAAGTCAAATAATACCCAGGGCCATGATTCCACCAGTGGCCTTGGCCATAGACTCAAGGCCAAACCCTGAAGGCACTTGAATTCCTCCACAGCTGAACGGATCCCCCAAGCTGGGGGCAGGCTTCCAGGAAAGGGAGAAAAGGAAAGAAGAAAGGGTGGAAATGGACCCTGAATAACTGTGATCCACACAGAGATCAGGGCTGAAATGACCACATGACACCACATCCGGGAACAGAAACTGAGGTGCTAGAGGGCACGCCAGCCTGTCAGTACAAATATTATTGTGTGTGGATGAACGGAGCACCTCGGCAGCTCGCCACGCCGCCTCATACACTCTTTGAGACATTGAGCTTGGTGAGTTCATTGGCCTCTTCTATTCCCGTGTCTTCACACTCATCCTTTCCTATGGCTTTTCCAAACCGAAACCTTTCTTCAGCTTTGGCCGGCTCTCTCCAGGGTCTCTTACAGGACAGGTGCACTTCTTTGGCCTGTGTGTTGTCATCCGATCCCAAGGAAGACTTGTCTGAGTACTGAACAGAAGGCACCAAGTTGGCAATCTCGTCCGTGGGAGACCGTCCAATGCTGCCGTCTACCTGCACACGGATGTCTGGGGAGATGGACAGCTGGTGCTGGGGCACGAGCCCATTGTCCATGCATTTTGGGTAAAGGTAGGTCTTCATCTGCCCTTTCCCCTTGACGTTCACAGTCCCGCGATAGTCAAAGTCATAACCCATCTTGCTCAGCACACGGTAGCTCTCTTCGCTCACCTGGATGCGGCACTCAACACCGGTGGTGTCCATCCTGCTGGCAATGTTGACAGTGTCCCCCCAGATGTCGTACAGCAGTTTGGTGGTACCTATGACACCTGCCGTCAGGGGTCCATGGTTAAAGCCAACCCTAAGCTTGAAGTTGAACCACAACATATTGTTGTTGAAGTCATCAACCACACGCATCATCTCCTTGGCGAATTCAAAGAGGATGCGCAGATGCTCCTGTGGGTGGCCACCCTCCTGACACTGGGCAGTGTTCAGCCCCGATGCTGCCATGTATGTGGCCCCAATGGTCTTGATCTTCTCAATGCTGCTATAGTCTGGCTTGCTCAGAAGCTCATCAAAGTCACCTATCAGCTCATTGAGGACCCGGTAGCATTCCTTGCCCCCTTCATAGTTCTCTTCGTAGAACTCACTGAAGTTGACGATGCTGGCAAAGATCACTCCTCCACTGTCATGGTTCTTGGAGTATGTCTGGGAGACTTTCAACTGCTCAGCCACGTGGTAGGGGATGATGTTCCTCAGCAGCCAGTCAGCCTGATCCCTCATGCTCTGGATCTTGGTGCGGTGCAGATCAGCTTCCACGTCCCCATGGTAGTGCAGGCGGTAGCTGACCTCGAACTCTCGGTTCAGGAACCAGACCAAGAGGAGCAGGAGAAAGAAGGTGAGAATGAGCTCCTTGCCTATGAGGCTGGCCGGCCTCCTGCTGTCCTGCAGCAGTGAGCTGTTGCACGGGTTCCTGCCGACACTGGGGAGCAGAGAGACGAGAAATGACAGAACTGCTCAGAACACCTCTACGGGAGTGCTCCAAACCTGCTCAGAACACCTCTATGGGAGTGCTCCAAACCTGCTCAGAACACCTCTAAGGGAGTGCTCCAAACCTGCTCAGAACACCTCTAAGGGAGTGCTCCAAACCTGCTCAGA